CACATTTATTAAGAGTGCGAGACATGTAGGCTATAGGATGGTCTTCTCCTCATTCTCTTTGACTTGAAACAGCACTGAGGGCTAAGTTGAATGCGTCAGTAGTTAGAATAAATGGTTTGTCGAGATCAACACATGCAAGAAACGGGGCCTCACACAGGGCTGATTTCAATCTTTCAAAGCTCTCTTCCTGAGTCTTAGTCCAATCAAATGTTTGACTTTTCCGTAATAATAGGGTTAAAGGCTCTGCAATTTCAGCATAATCTTTAATAAATCGTCTATAATATCCTGTAAGTCCTAAAAATTCTCGAATTTTCATACAATTTGTTGGTGTTGGGAAATTTTTAAGTGCTTTAAGTTTCTTAAGACCGGGTTTTATTCCATAACCATCTATTTTATGTCGTAAAGGAGTTACTTCAGGAGTTGAAAATTCGTATTTCTCTAGCTGTAATTTTAAACCAGCATCTGATAGTCTATTAAATAATTTTCTTACTTTTATTTATTGTTCNATTCCATAACCATCTATTTTATGTCGTAAAGGAGTTACTTCAGGAGTTGAAAATTCGTATTTCTCTAGCTGTAATTTTAAACCAGCATCTGATAGTCTATTAAATAATTTTCTTACTTTTATTTATTGTTCTTCTAAAGTTTTGGCACGTATTATAATATCATCTAAAAACATAAATAGTTCTGTGCCTTGCAATCCCAACAATACAGAATCCATGAGTCTTTGGAATGTAGATGGTGCATTGCATAATCCAAATGGCATACCTGTATACTCGTAATGTCCGTACGGAGTACTAAAAGCCGTTTTATGGCGATCATCTGGAGATACTTCAATTTGATGAAATCCATTAGCTAGATCAAAATTGTGTATGATATTTCTTGTGTACATCCGTAGTAAAGAATGTTGAAGTTGTTAATTAATCACATTTATTGGTGTACTTGTGCGAATCGATTTTGTAAGATGAGCGTTTTATGAAATTGTTCGAGGTGGCACGCGTAGTTCGAGTTTTGCGACGGTAGCTTGTTTTAAAAGAAGTAAGTTATATGTCACACGATCGCAAAATCAGGTATACCGCTCGATGGATCGAGATCGCTGAGCTTTTGCTTTTTAGAATTTAAAAACGAAACTGTGTTTTGAAGTGATAAATAGTAAGTATAAGACATGGGATGTCACACTAACACGCCTCGTTAAATTTATATTACGTATCTTTGAATTTTTTTCAACTTATTATGCATTGATGACTTTACCAGAATATCTGCAACATTTTTATTTGAATCTGCATCTACTACATTAATTATATTATTTACATCACTTTGATTTCCAAAATTATAATGTATTCAATGTATTCAGAATTTCTTGTAAAATTACCGTACTTCGCAATACTTATAGCACCACTATTGTCTTCATAAACTTTAATAGGTTCTTTTCACTCAATTTTTTTTATTACTAAAAATGTTCTTAATCACTTTCAGTATACTTACACTCTCAGATAACTGAACATATTCAGCTGACGTCGAGGATTTTCCATACATTTGTAGAACATAACCTGTCGTTAATTTCTTATCAATAATATTTCCTGCCTAATTGGCATCAGCATAGTAATCTATAATATCATATTTCTTGGCAAGTGTTTCAATACAGTTTTTCTGCTCAAGTGATGTTATTAGGATTGTGGAACTTGAACGTGGGTGAGAAATAAGAGGCACACTAACCTTGTGTGTGTAACAACGTAGGCACTTTATTGCTTGTAGAGCTGGGACTAACGGAGGCCAAGGAGGCAAGCATGAGACGCGCATACCTAACGAGCAGATAGCAACATACTCAATACAGACACTCATACACTCATACGCGCTCAATGGTGCCAGCATACAATAATGTATTTATTGCTACATGCCATTATACAGGATAAATTACAACATGCTCCCTCAATAAAGACATTTGAAGCTTCTTTTCACAAATAACAATTTAAAAAAAAAATAGCAACAATATAATAAATGTTCGAAAATATTAAATATATAAACTTCATCTTGAGCCTATATTATTACAAAATAACTTTATTAAGTTTCCATTTACAATCTTCGTTAAAGGATCAGCTAGCATCTGGTTTGATGGAGTGAAAATTATATTGATTTCTTTGTTGTTGATCTTCTCCTTGAGAAAGTGATGCCTGATGGATATATGTTTGGTCCTCGCACTGAAGTTTGCATTTTGACCAAGATTTATTGCTCCCTTATTGTCGCAATAAATATCTATTCATGTATTCGATTGAATTCTTAATTCCAAGATTAACTTCAACAGCCATAATGCCTCCTGCGCTGCAGCCGACAAGGAGAGGTATTCTGCCTCTGTGCTCTATAGGGCAATCGTAGGTTGTTTCTTGCTGTTCCATGTTATGGCAGCTCCCTGTAGTAAAAATATGTAGCCTGTAGTCGAGCGAGGATCACTTGAATCACTTGCCCAACTTGTATCGCAGTAAGCCTGAATATTTCTGTTGGATTTGTTTCCGTACGTTAACTTAAAATTAGCTGTGTAAATTAAATATCTGAAGAGATGTTTTGTTGCATTCCAGTGATCTTGGGTATAAGAGGAATTAAATCTGCTTAAAAGTCCAACTGCGTATGAAATGTCAGGTCTTGTACATTGACTGATGTAAAGTAAACAACCTATTGCGTTTTGATATGGAATCTGATCTAAAATTTGTAATTCCTGTGGAGATATATCTGGATTACGTGCAGTTGACCTGTTTAAAACATAACCAGTTGGTAGAGGTGTGTGTGATGGATTTGCTTGGTCCATATGAAACCTCTTTAGCATACAGAATATATAATCTGTTTGGTCTAGACTTATTGAACTGCCTTCTGGATTAATCGTGATATTTACGCCCAAAAACTTTTTAGCTTGGCCCAAGTCATTTACTGGAAAATACGATTTCAAGGACATTTTGAAACTGGACAGGCAATCCTGATTGTTTGTAAAAATCAACACGTCGTCCACAAAATGGCAATTATAATGAAACAATGCCCTGAATAATAATAGTATGTACAAGCATCGTTTTTTGATTGAATCAATCCAAACTTTTGAAACACACTGTGTAATTTTGAATTCCACACTCTGCTCCCTTGTTTCAAACCGCACAAGGCTTCATGGAGTTTACAGACCTTGTTCGGATGTTGAGGATCTTGGAAACCTTGGGGCTGTTTCAAGTAGAGTTCTTCGTTTAACTCTCCGTGGAGGAAAGCAGTTTTAATATCCAAATGATGAATTAATATACCCGGAGTTCTTGATGCAGCTGCTATTAATAGACGAATGGTTGAGAAACGTACAACGGGCGCATAGGTGTGCTCATAATCTTGTCCCTTGACTTGTCTGAAACCTTGGGCGACTAACCTGGCTTTGTAAATAGTTTGATTGTGTGGATCAACTTTTTTTCTATATACCCACTTTGTTCCAATAGGTTTACGACCTGCTGGTAGGTCAATGAGAGTCCAAGTTTTGTTATCATGTATGGACATGATTTCGTTTAGCATAGTCTTGCGCCACTGGGCTCCTTCCGTACTAGACACTGCCTCCGAGTATTTTGAAGGCTTAACAATATCAAGAGCACCCGAATAACATACGTAGTCGTCCAGATATTTTGGACGCTTAGTTAGTCTTGATGTACGACGCGGAGTTGGTGGTTCAATGTCAGACTCTTCGTCAGACTCTTCAGCTAGATCTTGTATACCCTGTACATCAACATTCATTTCTTCAACTTGTTTGACGGCTGGCTGTTGTTAAGGGTGTTCTTGTAAATGTAGAGGCATAAAAACATATGTAGGTTGATGCATACTTGATGCCTCTTCAATAAATTTCACGTCACGAGCTGAAATTACTTTCTTCGAGGCAGGGTTCCATAACCTGTAGCCCTTTTGATTTGGTGCATAACCTATAAAAACACATTTAATATTTTTTGCCTGGATTTTATTTCGCTGTTGCTCAGGCAAAAGAGCATAAGCAGTGCATCTGAACACTCTTAGGTGTGCCAAATCTGGCTTTTCACCATTCCATTTTTCATAAGGAGTGGTACCTTGAAGAGCTCTTTTCAGAGTCCTATTGTGGATGTAGCTTGCAGTGGCAACCACTTCAGCCCAAAAACCGTTACTCAAGCCTGAGTGAGAAAGCATAGCCCTTGCTTTCTCGAGTAGAACTCTGTTCATGCGCTCTGAGCGACCATTTCGTTGTGGGTTGTATGGGATGCTTGTTTGGTGCACAATACCCTTTGATGCCAGGAAGGAAGTGACCTTTTCGTTGGTGTACTCCGTACCGTTGTCAGTCCTCAAAACTTTGATCATGTTACCTGTTTGATTTTGGACAAAATTTACAACACATTTCGGTACATCAGCTTTGCTTTTTAAAAAATAGACAAACACATGACGAGAGTAATCGTCTAAAAATGTTAAATAGTATTTGTTTTCACCTATGGATGCTTGTGGAACTTGACACACGTCGCTGTGCACTAATTCAAGCTTTTGTTTTGCTGTTTTTGAATTTTGCGAAAAAGGTCTTCGGACTGACTTTCCTTGGATACAGCCTATACAGTCTTCTAGTGTACTTTCACTTTGAAAACTTATTCCTGTGGCCGCTTTATTTTTCAAAATCTTCAAATAATTTAAATTTAAATGGGCTAGTCTTTGGTGCCACAAATTAACACTTAACTTGGCGGAATTTGCCATCAACATAGAGTCAAAAGTCTGATTACACTAAATATCACTTGTGTCTTGCAAAGTGTATATATTTTTTCCTAGCTTTACACCTGTGATGATTAAATCACCTTGCTTTGAATAAACACAATACTTGTCCTTGAGAAATTTGACATCGAAGCCTTTGTTGGTTAAAATCCCAACGGAAATAAAATTGGAAGCAGCTTCGGGTACAAACAAAACATCCTTAAAATATATGACTTTGTGTTTACCTTTGGCATCCAACGTCAGCTCTACAGTACCAACACCATAAGCAATCATTTTGCTTGTGTTTGCCACACCAATTCTTCTTTCGGTGATTTTTTGGAAATCTTTAAACTTTGATTTATCGTTACACATGTGCCTTGATGCTCCAGAGTCGATGAGCCAGATATTTTTAAATTCCTTGACATACTGATCTGATAAGCGCACATGCTTGTTGCCTCGTCATCTGTGTCAGAATCCGATGCTTCTTGTGCGTTGTACACTTGCCCTGCACGCTTGTTTGGCATCTTGCAATCCTTAGCAAGATGAACAAGCTTATTGCAGTTATAATATTTAACTAGAGCCTTTTTTCTTTTTTGCAAAAGGTTTGAATTTTTGTTTTTGTCAAAAGGAGGTTTTCTTTGATTGTGATGCATACTTGCAAATGCATGTGAATCACCTTTACTCGATGCACTGTCTATCTTGACTTCTTGAAGTATCTTGGATTTTACGAAATCTGAGGTTAATTTTTTACCGCAGCTTTCAAGCGCCATAACCATAGGCTTGTATGCCTCTGGTAAACCAGTTAAGAGAATAAATGCCAGCCACTCGTCCGGAATAGTCATTTGCGCGTTTTCGAGTTTATGGGCACACGTAATGACTTTGTGTACATACTCTTCTACAGAGGCACAGTTTTCCAAAGTCGTAGAAATAAATTCATTGAAAAGACTTACGCGCCTCATTACGCCGTCATCAGCAAACGCGTCCTTGAGTTTCTTCCAAACTTCTTTGGCTGAGTCGGCTTGTTGTACGTGTGTGTAGAGCTGTGGCTCGATGGCTAGAATTAACCTTGAGTGTGCTTTGACGATTTTCTTTGCGTCGGTACTCAAACTCCCACCTGTTGGAGCTTCGACGGTGTCCCATAGATCGTCGAGACGAAGATATGCCTTCATGGCAATCGCCCACGTGTGGTAATTATCTCTACCACTCAGCCGCTCGATCGACTGATACATGCCTCTGTCCACCATTTTAAAACTTTTTAACTGCTCTCGAGGTATACTTTTACGAGAGAATTTCTTACCACGCTCGTTGCACTTATCCTGGGCCCATAACCTGATGTTATTAGGATTGTGGAACTTGAACGTGGGTGAGAAATAAGAGGCACACTAACTTTGTATGTGTAACAACGTAGGCTCTTTATTGCTTGTAGAGCTGGGACTAACTGAGGCTAAAGAGGCAAGCATGAGACGCGCATACCTAACGAGCAGATAGCAACATACTCAATACAGACACTCATACGCGCTCTATGGTGCCAGCATATAATAATGTATTTATTGCTACATGCCATTATACAGGATAAATTACAACATACAAGTTTCATTTTTTATTTTCATAGTCATAGTTGATGCTTATATCTAAATAAGTATTTATATTTCCCAAATCTTTCCTATTAAATCTTTTTACTAATAATTCTTTAGCAAAATTCAACTTTTCTTTATTTTTATAGCAAATAATTAAGTCATTCAAAAAAAGAATTTAATATACATTATTATTTTTGCCATTTAAGATATATAAGCAATATTCATTCTCGCTTTTTTTTAAATATTAACTTTTGAAATTAGTATCAAAATATTTACACCAAGCTCTTGGGCTTTATCTTAATCCATATAACGCTTTATGTAATTTTAGTACCTTACTGGAGCCATTATGATGGCCTTGTGGCTGTTTAACATATAACTCAGATTTAACCTTTTCATTTAAAAACGCTGGTTAGACATCTATCTGTTAAATAATTCAATTATTTTGACAACAATAAGAAAGTAAAATATTTTGAGTTTGCATTTTTGCAACTGGTGAATAAATATCGTCAATTTTATTATTTTGTCGAAAACCTCTTACAACTAATCTAGCCTTGAAAATGTCATCAGCCTTGTTAGTATGATTCCATTTTTAATTAAATTTTTTTTTGATATTTGGGTCATTCACAGATATCCAAGTCCAATTTTTGTTCAAACAATTTATTTTCTAATCCATTACTGTTTTCCACTTTTTAGACTCATTACTATTTATTGCATCTTTCTCAGAAACAAGAGTCTTAGTATTTGTATAATTAACACAAATAATATTATCTATATGCAAAATTTAGTTTTTTATTTCCATCTCATCCGCTTGTATTCAAATCACCATTAGTGTTGTCAACTTTGTTTTTATTTAAACTAACTTTTACTATGTCATACTCTGATTTTGGACAAATATAATCTGTGCCATTTTCGATGATATCAACGTGTCTTGCAACTACTATTTTATTATTTATAAGAATCCTATAACCAACATTTTTATAACCTAACAAAATCCCTAAATCTGCTTTTTTGTCCCATTTTAAACTTTTTTTTCCTCCAGTATTCACACGAAAATTCTTTCATTCATTTTTTAATGTTTCACACTAGACTTTTCTCCAAACATAATTTTAAGAGGTGTTTTATTCTTTTTAACAGTATTAGTTATAATTCTATTTTCTTAATCAAGCTGCTATTTTAACTATTTCTGCCCAATATGAACCCTTGCTTCTTTTAATAAACATCTAGACGTATCTATAATATCCCTGTTAGATTTTTCTGCCGTTCCATTCAATTCATGTACTTGCGGTTGACACGGTTAAATAAATATCCCTTTCTCGCTTGCAATATTACAAATATCCTTATTTATATATTTCTTTCCATTATCACATCTTTGTCTTTTTTTTTTGCTTGTCTTACTTTGAATTAAATTTGCATAGTCAGCAGAGCAATTACATACTTGATCTTTCGAATTAATACAATAAACTTTAGCTACTTTACTATCATCATCAATAAAACTCGAAAAATATTTCTCTCCAGTAGTACCATGAGGTCCATTTAAATCGGTACGAACAATTTCTAAAATATCTCTGGCCCCTTGATCTGTCGTTATTAAATGGTAAAGTATGCATTTTATTTTTGAAACAAATTTCACATTTTCAATAGTCAGTTTCTAATTCCCTGGGAAATCATGAAGCATTTGCTTATGACACATTGTTTTCACATAATTAAAATTTATATGACCTAGTGTTCTGCGTATTTTTTTTTTTTTTTTTTACTTATTCTTTGTCATTAAACTTGACTCTTTATACATAATTTCACTTGTCATTAGATAAATATCATTGTTTTTAACAGCTAACGCAATAAATTTCCATTTTGATCAAAATTTTTTGACAAGTTTCTTACCGATTCAATTTTATTTGCTTTTGTTACTTTACCGTAACTTATTAAATTTCTATCCATATTTTTAACAAAAAAAACCATTGTATTCATTTTACTTTGACCATAAACATTAAACTTGTGCGTAATATTACCAACTTTTGTTACTTTTAAAGAACGACCATCATCTACTTTTACATTAATAGTTTCTTTTAATTCAACAGATTCATTAAAATATCGATCATTATTTATAACATGATCTGAGCAACCACTATCTAGTAACCTTAAACTTACCAGCACAGCTGTTTACTTCAACACGCGACTTATTAGGGTCTTTCCTTAAATTCCGCATTAAAACTACTCACATTACCGTGTCCATTTTGATGCCCTCAATTATTTTGCCGCTATTATGACCAGACTTGTTTAGAGTATGGTCTTAACTGTTTTATTTAAGTATCTTTCGTGGGTCTCTTAGGATTCAGCTCGTGAGCTTTATTTGTTTTTTTAGTTAAATTATAATCTTTATTTAAATAATATGGGTAATTTTAATTAATGTATTTCTTTATTAAAGCAATTTAATAATAACTTGTTCTTTTAAATACAATTTAATCGGGTCACTTTAACAAGGTTCAGCGTTAATTTGATTACTGATAAATAACTTATATCTATCGCTGATTGTTCTTATTGCTGCTTCGGAGTTCCGTAATACTTCGTGCGGTAACCTCCAGTGTTTCCTTAAATAACACGAATGAGTTCATGGCCAGTATAATGTTGCGATTTCTGCTTTCTCTGCTATCGCTCGAACCACTTTCGGTGGGCTTCCTTTGCTGTACCTCGCTCCTTAGCGTTGTCCGATACTATTGATGTTCTCGATACGCACTCGAGTCGCCTAAGCCAACACGTTATGCCTTACGCGTTTAAGGTACTCACGAGTCGCGAGAGTCTAGAATTGACTAAAACTTTAGAGGACAGGTGACATACGTAAAGAGAGCAATTTTTCCTCTAGATGGAGCGTTTTTATAGCATCAGAGCGAGTAAATAGGCCTTTGGTTGAATAAGGTCAACCAATGAGCGATGTTCTTGCAGATTGCGATGACAGCAAAACAGTAGGCTTGCACGATGATGTTACGTGGTATGATTTCACATATTAGGAAATAACAATACAACAGTACTACTCGCATTTTTCTGACAAGTTCGATTGAGTTTTTTGGGTCAGTGATGATCAAAGCTCGCAACAGCAATATAAGAGCGCCAAATACAAGTTTAATTGTAACAGTAAGTTTACAAATTTCGAAATTAATGCTTCTGAAAATTTTACAATCAATTTTGAATATAATGAAGTAATGTGTGAATTACAAATTTTAAATTAGTATACATTATCAGAATTAAACAATTAATGAGCAAGTAACTATTCGTTCATTCAAATGTATGTGCATTCTTACAACGAGGCTGGCCGTATTCTATGTCAGCATATTATGAAGCATTCACCTTAACGCTAATACACACACGCGCACACATAAACGACGTACGAGCTCCTCTTGTCATATCAGTTTGCTTTATTTTCACAATACGTCTTATCTGAATTTGACGTACGGATAGCTTTTAGTTATAATTCGTATTAATTTGGGATGTGACACCGCCAATCCCCTCCTCGACTATGTTGACTAGAGGCTCTACCAGCTCCACGACCTCGGCCTCGGCCGCCGCGATGTCACCACTGCTGTTCTTGTTGTTGTTGTTGTTGTTAGCGGCCGTCTCGTTGCTGCTGCGCAACATCATGCTCCTATGAATCATCGTATTATGTTGCATTATAAAAATTTGAGGCTCATTTGATCCACTCGGTTGAGCTCTACATACAAATTGTGGTAAATTAGTGGATTTCTTTTTTAATTTTAAAATGCATCTTAATGAAATTGAGGCAATGACTTATGTAACAATTACATTTACTATTAGGCTTCCAAAAACTATTGCTGTATTTTCATAGTTTACTTGTTTTTTTATTGCTATATCCCTTAAAGTTTCCTCCATTCTAGTTAACGCTATTGTGTCATTTGATTCTGCCCATTCATTTATTTCGGTTTTTTCTTCCTCTTGTAAATAAAGAGTGAAGTTATTATTGCCGATTTTGATTGTTTTGATATCAAGAAGGTTCAATAAATTTGCTAAACGGTAAGGAAGTTCTAATCTATGGTAGTAAGTCTCTGTCAATTGTAGTGTTGTGACTCCATATAGGGTGCAGCTGGGAGCATGAGCAATACAATTACTGTTGATCGTTAGTGTTCCCATACCTTGTATTTTAATTTCAGTTGGTTGTGTGATTGAAGGATTATTTCCACATAATACTTGTATCGTGGTAGTATTTTGTGCAGAGTATAATCATTGTTTAGTGGTTTTTAGTCTTATCCAATAAATTTCGAGTGACTTATATAATGTTATTTGACAAGTTTTTAATGCTTCTGTTGATGGGTTTACAAATAAAGAGATTTCGCAAGGATTATTTATATTATCTTCGTAAATAGGCATATCTGGGGTCAGCAGTTTCAAATCTTCTTATCTTCAATGCAATGGTTTAAAAATTTTTCGTCGGTAAGGAAAGAATTTTAAAGGTTATTGCTTACGATGAGATTACTATGTCGGGGTTCAATGCTGACACATCCTTTTAAATCTGAGTGTAAATTTCTCGGAACTGGAATTGAATGCATGGCACACTTACTGAATTGTTCTTTACCGATTCACAAGAAACTAAGTTTAACTGCTAATCTACCTTCTATTATTACTGCGTTTGTTGTGGACAGTGCGTGCAAGCGTTCAAG